AACAACCTTGCCATCATCCATTAGAACTTCTGAAGCCTTTTTCAGGAAAAAACAACATCAGGTTAACACAATGGTTCAAGGGTATGGGCTGCCACAGATTTTCTACACAATGACAATGTCTGAAGGCAAGTGGAAACATCTTCAAGAAATATTGCTGCTCACTGATAATCATGATCCGCTGCCATCCAACAGGCCATTGCATGCATACTTACATTATCACAACAGGTTGACAAATGTGCGTAATAAGCTTTGGAAAAATCCGAATCTTGTACAGTGGGGTGAGTGGTTGCACTTTTTTGAGAGAGACGAGTTTCAAAATAGAGGGTCCATTCACACTCATGGGTTTGCTTACACAGAAAAAAAAATACCAGATCTGATAGCAAAAAATACCATATGTGCAGATGTACCTGATCCCCTCCTTGAGCCTGAGCTTTTCCAGCTGGTGACCACATACCAGATACACAGGTGTGTTGGAGAAAAGTGTGGTGACCCAGGAACAAATGCAAATCCATGCAAAAAAGGATTCCCTCAGCCCCTCTCCAATTTCACATATTGCGAACAAAATTCCAAAAGATACATTTATCGAAGAACCAAAGATGAAGATTGTTGGGTTGTCCCTTACCATCCTGAAACATTGTTGATATGGCAGGGACACATCAACTTTCAATACATAACAACATTTGGCTTTGGGAAATATGTTACCAAGTATGCCACAAAACCTGAACCTAATGAGATCTTCAACATCAGTGAGCAAGATTCATACATAAAACATGTGCAAGCTAGGAGGTTGGGGTCGATGGAACTGATGATATTGCTGTTGCAGTATCCAATAACAAGGTGTTCAGTGGTGGTTCAATACCTCCCATCCGCACCTTCTGAATTGAGGATTCGATCGGTTAAACCTGTATATGCGCAAATTGAACAAGATAATGATGAGAATGAGGATGAGGATAATGAGAATGATGGAGATAGTCCTTACTTCGATGATGCGATTGATAAGTATTTTTGCAGGCCAAAAAATCACATTTTTCAAAGCATGACCTACCCAGATTATTTTAGAGATTATAACATTAAAAACAAGCCCCCAGGCCCAAGATCAAAGCTATACTCAACAAGAGACCTTAAAGGCAGGTTTGTTGTCAAGCGAACAAAACCTCTGCTGCTCAGGTTCATGAGTTACAAAATTGATGATGGTGAACCTTTTTTTTTCCAATACCTCATAATGAAAATTCCAGCATGTTCTCAAAGTGAGCTACTTGGGGAGTTTTCAAGTTTCAGGGAGAGGTTCCAGAACATGTATCCGATGAGGTACCAGCAAGCTTTGACCAGGCTGGCTCACAGTTCACTGATAAGTAAGAATCAATTTTCTGAAGCATTTGGAAAGGCAATCGTTTCAGTTTTAGCAGATTTAGATAAAGATGATCTTTGGGATATTATTTACCAGCAGCTCATGTCGTTGGAGAAGCCATCATCATCAAAGTTGACATCGATCTTGATGTTTGACAATGAACAATACAGAGTCTATGACATCTTATATAATTCATGGGGTCCTGAACATGATAACAAGCATCCCTACTTCTTTATGACAGGTTCAGCTGGCACAGGAAAGACCTTCATGACACATCATGTTGTAAATATGCTCCAGTCAAAAAGAATCAAATATTTGTTAGTGGCTCCTACTGGTGTTGCAGCTCAGAATATAGGAGGTAGGACAATCCATTCAGCCCTAAAATTGAGACAATTTGATGGACATCACCAAACATTGTCATTAGAGAGTGAAAAATCAAGAGAGGAACTTTTAGAAATTAAAGCCATCATAGTTGAGGAAATCTCCATGGTGTCAGGTACACTTTTCACATTCTTGAGCAACATGTTTGGTTCTCTGCACAAGAACCACAAGGTATTTGGAGGTGTCCCAGTCCTGGTGGTTGGTGATCTTGCCCAGCTTTCTCCAGTCAATGCTCAGCAAGTTTTTTTCTCACCAGCTTGGAATTCGTTCTTCCCTGTTTTCCTGCGTCAACCAAAACAACAAAAAGATGACTTGAGTTTCTTCAATTTGTTAGAGGAGTTAAGATTTGGAATCCTTAGTGAGAAATCAAAGTCGATGATAAATGAAAAAATTTCCAATTCCCAAAATCTAAATGCCATTTTAAGTACAACGCATGTTGTTGGGCTTCGACGAACAGCTGATGATATCAATTCTCTCATCTGCAGCAACTTACCATTTGATGGTGAATGCTCTGATACTATCATATTTTTGTCTGTGGATGCCTTTAACCATGAAGTGTTTGACAATAGTGACGATCGGTTGAATTTTAAGCACTATACCAATCTTCCAAAGGCTATCACATTGCAGGAGGGTGCTCGCATAATGTTCCTAAATAATAAATTGTTTGAACATGGAATATGTAATGGGACAATAGGAGTAATCACCAAGGTAGTTGATGATGATAATGTTGAGGTCGCTTTCCCCACGGCTAACAATATTGCAAAGATAAATGTTCAAAAAGAAATCACGTACTTTACTATCAATGGAATACCAGCATCCAGGAAGCAATTTCTAATTCAGAATGCATTCGCACTCACTGTTCACAAGACACAAGGCCTTACACTGCCACACTCAACTGTATCCATTGATGAAAATATGTTTGCCACAGGACAGATCTATGTGGCAATGAGTAGGCACCTTTGTGGGGTTCTCTGGATATATTATCTTTTGATTTTGATTACATAGACATGTTATTTATGAGTACAAAAGATTAAATCTCTTGAACCAAAATGGCTTGAAAGAATTGATGTAATAAAAAAATACCTTGTAAAAAAAGTATGTAAAAAAAATCATTAGAAAATTTGTTTCAATTAATTATCAACGTAATAAATAAATAAATAAATAAATAAATAAATAAATAAATAAATAAATAAATAAATAAATAAATAAAAATTGTTTTTCATTTTTCACCTACCAAAAAATTATGCAATCAGAAATTAATATATTAAGACAATCACGATTGTTATATTTGTGTGTATTAGTCCTGCTCTAAGCCTAAAAGCGCCATCATCTTTGAATGATTTAAATACTGTTAATTCTCAAACTCATGAAAAATAAATGATTTATGAAGAGGAAGTAAAAAAAGGAATATTGCTTGGAGATATTTTAAGCAACTCTAAAGCAAAATGATAAAAGAAATTATGTGTGGAAAAAGATTGATGACTAATAATTATTAAAATTAATTTTTTCTCACTTCATTTTGAAATTTGAAAAAGTGACATTAATATTAACGTAATAATTTTTCAAGTATGTTTTTCTACGAATTTCGGAAGCGTAAATGAAAATCTCGATAGCTCCTCATTTGTAAACTTGTTCAAGGGATATAATTTATTTATTATTATAATTTTATAAATTTACACACAAGATTTTTCTTTATTTCTATTACTCCGAATTTTGATTTATCGAAATACAAAATCTTCAAAATATTCGTTGCAAAAAATCGTTCTATTTTCAGATATTTTTGATGATAAAGCTCTACAATTGAATGATGATTTCAAGAATCACCGTCTAAAATTGGAATGTACTGTTCATCATGTGAATACAAATCTGCAACTTATGATAAAATAATGGATATTGAATGTGAAGTTCATGTGCCATTGGGAACATTTAAAGAACATGGACATCCACATAATTCTAACCGAGACTAATGGTTCCATAGGACCTTGCTTTATTTTATAAAATAAAAAAATTACGTATCACTATTACATGACCGGTTCTTTTCCATTATTAATATTAGCCATCATATTTTTAATTATAGGACAGCTACGGTAGGTATGATCTGGTTTTCGTAAATCTTACATTTTCGCAGGAGCGGTCCATTATCTACTCTAGAGTTTCTGACTATATTTATTGATGGATTTGGGCCAGGCAATTCTTCACATTGATCTAATTTATTTGCAAGATTGATATTTGCGTAATTAATGTCCATCGGTTCCAATACTCTGTTTTCTTCAGCCTCAAGACCCATTTTCAGCGTAATTTTTTAGATCCATAATATTAATATTTAGCTTTTTCAGTTTTGAGACGAAATTTTCGTTGAAATGGTTGAGGTTTTGGCTGTTGTTGAAACATAGGTTGTTGAACGATTTGTTGAGGCGGTTGGAATACTGTTTGTTGAACAGCCTTCTGAGATTGTGGAAACATAGATTGTTGTATAATTTGTTGAGGCTGCCTATCAAAAATGATCACCCACATACAATACTATTTCCCATACAACTTATGTGTTTATCTTTTATTCATTTAAACTTTTCCCACCATATTTGGACAGATTGGAAGGCATAAATCTGATTCAATAAGGAATGATCAACATCTACTTATGATTAAAGTTTGAAACACTTGTTTTGTATTTCTAGAGATATTATGACAAAGCATCACCAGGATAAAATTCTCCTATTTTATTTCGCTGTGATAACATTGGAATTAATAATATACAGGTTTTTTTTGAGAAACGGTGACAATTCTTTGGTGTGAATTTTTTTTTAATTTATCAATTAAGTTTTCTTTCTAGAAAACATTATTTCTTAATATTTATTACAACATACTTGTATTAATAGGAAGCTGTACAATAAAAATAAATAAATATATGTATAAAACATTATATTAGACATATTTTTAAAGATTAAATATAATACATATCTTAGTAAGTACAGATAAACAAACAACTTTTTATCTTATCCAAGAAATTTCAAGTGATGCAATAGTACTTATTATTATTATGAAACA